GGGACAGACACATGTGCAAACAGAGAGAGAGAGAGAGAGAGAGAGAGAGAGAGAGAAAAAAAAAAAGAACGACGACGTAAATGAATGTCAAGGATGGCCATCAATGAGCATGGTCTTGCAGAGCTTGGTTGTACAGTGTGGTCTCGTTTTCATGTTGCCTGTGCAGTATTTCCATACATGCCTGCTTCTGTTCCGACGGATGGTTGCACAGCAGGGGTGCAAGTTGGGCAGGCACGCAACGTGACTGGGCACTGTGCATCCTCAGAGAATTTATGCTGCAAAGCCTGATATGTACTGACTCTGCACGGTGTGGTGCAGTCCAATGGTGTCTTCACGCGTTAAAGTTATATTTATGCATTTATGCATTCGGGCATGCGTGCATGCCCTTTGAAGCATCAGGTCTAGTCATCTTGCCGCTAATTCTGCCAGGTCTCGCAGTCTTTGGACTTCAGTTCGTGTTTCACTATCTTATCATTTTGATTGGGGTGACAGCAAGACCCAGGGTCTTTTGGACGGCAAGAACTCAACAGCCAGGACATTTCTCATGAAAAGCTTCACACATCACACTTTCTCGCGGGTGCCCCCTGGCCTTTGAATGATCGTCGGAATCATCATGGTTTTACCAAGCTTGCCTCAGTCTCAAACCATTCAGCGCTGAGTGCGTAACAGGGCCTCGTCTCGTACCAGGTCATTCGCAAAGCATCTCAATGTGGGAATACTCAACCACAAAGTTCTGGCATGGCTTGAGAAGAACAGAATATCCAAGGAAGTATCGATACGCATGATGCAGGGACAAGAGGCCTTGGCCAGTGCATCAATGAAAGGGAGCTTGTCCTGTAGTCACTAGCATTGAAACCCACATCTAAGCTGAACATCACAACGCTGCTTTGTCCTGCAGGGCATCGAAAACTGGGGTCAACAGCCTCGCAATATCTCAGCCAGAAGCCAGCTTCTCTTTGCTGGAGCTCTCAGTCTCAGGGGCGGCTGCACGGCTTTGTCCAGGCGCAGCCGGATCTTGCATTGTTCATTCCGCAGTAGTAGCCTCGCAATTGCTATCACGAATGGCCGTGGCCATTCCAACTCAAGCCTTCGAAATCCGGCTGCCATGAAATGGTCTAACCCGATCAAAGACTCCAAGAGGAGGCAGCCACTTTGCGGCTTTGGCCACTTCCCGACACACAGATTAAAAAACCCTGCTTCCGCGGCTGAGCTGTGCACGACTCTGCGATGCTCTCCATGCTCTCCTGGCTGTTTTTAGGGAACATCAGGCCATGAAGTGACAAGCAACGAGCATTCACGAAGCCAACACGGCTCCTCGTAGACGTCTGGGCCAGTCGCCTTAGTGGTGCTGAAGACGAAGGTGATGCGGCCTGCGATGGGAACCTCAAACGTGCCATGCTCGTCCACTGCCTCCGTCAAAGGCGTGCAGCCTTCACTTAGCGTAAGATCTGTGAAGGCCTGCTTTGTACTCAGACCCAGAATCTTGCACAGCTTCAAGAGAATACGTAGCACTGCACGGCTGTGAGGGAGTCCCATGTTCAGGTCGTATTCCCCTTCGGGATTACAGAACTGGAAGAAGTGTTGCCGAAAAGCATCGCCCATGTCAAAAGCCTCTAGGCACTGCAGCTTCTCCAGTTTCGAAACGGCAAAAAGCCGGATGAGGAAATGAGCGCCTGGAGCCCCGAAAGGATTTCGCGACACATCCAACTCCTTTAGGCACGGATGTGCTGACAGCGCATCTGCGAGGACCAGCGCTGCATTCAGGTCCAGCCGGTTCATGGACACATCCAGATACGTTAGGCTCCTTGCCTTGCTCAGTGACTCCAACATCACGCTGGCACCTTCAGCATCACTGGCTGAAGAGCAGCTCGACATTGAAAAGGACCGCAGCTGCACGTGCGGATGTGCCACATTGGTGCCAATTGAAGTAAACACCTCGTCTCCGAAACTGTTCCAGCTCAAATCAAGTGCTATCAAGGTGCTGCACCCGAAGAGGACATCCAGGCATCTTTTGATTGCTGGATTGCTTCCCAGACCGGTGTCCGCCAACATCAAGTTCTCTAAGTTCGAATGATCGCCTAAAGCCTTACAAAGTTCAAACTGAGACTTCACCGGCAGGTGAATGCCACTCATGTCCAGAACTTTCAGCGTGCTCAGGCCTTGTGGGCTGGCAATGAGACTTACGAGCAGCTCCACGGAGGGATGACCAAGTCGTATACATTGCCGAAGGCGCAAAGATGAGAGAGTCTTGCAGGCTGGATTTCTCATCATCTTCTGTAAAAGAGGAACCACGGACTTATCAGTGAGCAGAGTGTTGCCACTGAGATCCACTTCCAAAACTTGGGGCACGGTACGAAACATTGCTGCAACAGGGATGAGATCACAGTCAGCCAGCGCCCAGTTCACGGCATTGAGCCTCGGAGACAGCCCTGTGATGAAATCAAGTGGTGATGGTAAGATGCCTCCTCGCTCACATGTGGTCATGTACCTTGTCATCGCTGATTCAGAACCTTTCTTTTGCTTGTCCTTCGCTTCGGCCTTCCAACTTTCCTTGAAGGTCATGGCCATGACCGGATTCCTGGAGAAAGCATCGCTGCCCGCACTTGCCGACTGGGGATCCTTACCGCATCCTCCATATCTGCTGTGCAGAGAGGGTGCAGATACCGACTTCTCGCCAAGTCCACTCAACTGCACATGCTTGAGTACTTTGCTTGATTTCGAGTTCTTCAATGCAGATGGCAAAGCGGGCTTGATGAGGCTACTGGTGCGCCGCACATCCCACTGATTGCTAGCACTGTCTGACACTTCCTGCCGAAAACGTTCAGCCAATGTCCAACGTTGTGGCTTGCGCTCGCGTGCTCCTCGAACTATCCAGGTGTCGGGTTTTGGGTGCAATGCCTTCGCTGGAGTTTGACCTTTCGAAGAGTCTTGTGCCGAGAGAGGCTCCAAGTTTGTCTTAGATTTCCCGGCTGCAACATCAGCGACATGCCAAAATTTGCACTGCGTCTCCAACAAGGCTGCGGAATTCTTTGTGATGTCTTCGGTTACCTGCCCCACTGGAACCTCGCGGGAGGTCTGCGGTGGACGGTAGTTCTCGAAGAAGCGCTTGACCTGCTGCCTGCGATGACTCTTGCTTTGCGCAAGCTCCTCTAATTCTGCCTCCATATCTCGAACTCTCGGTGCCAGCAGCAAGCTCATCACACAGCGCAGGCACGTCACGCGGTGCCTTGTATTGATAATCTTCTTTACTACCGCAAGCAACCTCGCACGTGCCGAGGACTCATTTCCGCCAAAACACTGCATGGCAATTCCCAACAGCCCGTCAAAGAGCCGCTCAACTGACGTCGCAAGGTGCCCTTCTGCATCCGGCTGCAGAATGGGAATGGGCTGCCAAATTTCCAGGCTGTCTGCACTGTGCGCCTGAGGACGAACATGTCGTACTTTCGGCGTTCTTTCCTCCATTCATGAGCTGCCTGAGGGTACAAGGCCCAAACTGTCAAAGCTGGTGAGATTCGGCAGATCATGTTGTTCTGTCCTGCAACCTGTAGCCGACTTCCTACAATGCCCCTTTCATCTTCCGACTCAACCTCCCAATGTTGTCTGACTGTTTGACAGCTACCAAACTTGTGCTTGTAACAGCTGACCAGACAAGGCGCGTCTGAGTCTGCAAGTGTTCCACGCTCAGCACATCGCACACTCAAAACAGTCAGTCTCTTCCTTCCGCCACTCACATTGAAAGCTCCAGCTCCGCGAAGGAGCAGTGAAATCTTGGAACACAGCAGGCAACAACAGGCCATGCTCAGAGTCTCTGCCACCTTCAGGCTCTAGACATTCACTGTAGGAATGCTTGAAAACAGATGAAAACAGAAAGACCAAAGCGGCATTTCCGAGACCATTGCTGTCGTTTGAGACGGCTACTCAAATCGCCTCCGCGGAGGCACACACCTGCACAAATCTCTGCACAAAGGATGTGTTTTCCAGGTGCTCTGGAAGCTGCAGGCGCTTAGCTTGGGCAACTGACTTGAAACCTGCAACGATTTGGGGACGAAATTTCGATGGCCGGCTCTGTTAAGCCAAACAGCACAAACCTAGCACAGGCCTCAGACTTTTACACACATTTCGGCCATTGGGCTCCCTGCAGGCATGCGCATCCTACGCCTGCCGGACCCGTACCGACGTCAAAAACCCAGCAACATTGATCTTCTGTCCTTCGAGAACGAAACGAAGCCTTTTCCAGATACACGGTTTCATGCCGAGTTAGATGCGGGGGAATCTCTGGATGCAGTGTTGGATATCACGAGATTTCACAATCAAAGCATCACCGTCTTCGCGCCAAACTCCGTTGCGTCTTCCACTAGGTCAGCATAGCTGAAAAGCCGATAGCAAAATTAAAATCTACATTTCCATTCAGAATGCCAGTTTGCAGTCTCCAGTGACGGACTCAGGCAGCACCCTTCGGTAGAGCCATGCCATGCAAAACAGCCCAACCCCCACCCGAAACTTTTTACCGCCAAGACCCCGCAAACCTGCTGTTCATTTTGTCATTCAGCTCCGTTTCAATGTGTCGAGATGCGCAAGACTTGGCGTATCTGCGAAAGATCTTCCGGAACGGTATTTCACCGCAACTTTAATCAGCAGGAAACTTGCAAACCCAGCCAGTGTCTGACATCAGCTCCTCTGCGTCACCATCTGCACAGCTCCACTAGGCAAGGTGTGGCAGCCCGGCAGAACCTGCCAGAGACTTGAGAATTTACGACAATGCCTCCGATATCCTCCGATGCTTTTATTTGAAGCTGGCATCGCAAAAATCATCTGGGATCCTTGCGGTCCAAGCCCTGAGTTCATCCGTCGGTTCCAGCAGCCTGTGGCAGGGACAGCAGGCACCTTCATAAACTATTGGAAGCGAGACTTTGCCTGTGTGCGGGATGCAAACGAGTGCATATGATTGGTGGAACATGCATGTGCTTCTGCCTTGCTCCTGAACGTCCGGCATGTGTGGCATGCAATCATCGCGTGGCACTCGCGGAGAGGTTCCAGGTGGTCCCCGTGTGTCAGACAGAGGCATAAATAAGGTGAGCTGAGGCTAAAGAGAAGGCATACGTCACGCGTGGCTCGTCAGTTCGGAAGCAGCAGAATACCACCTCACACGCGCACCAGGAAGAATGTCTAACATGTGACACACTACTAAGCTGTTGCCACAAAACCCATGAAGATCACAAAGTCCCGCAAAATGACACCGTTCCCAATCTTTTGGTCTTGGGCTTGCCGCCACCCCCGCACTTTTCCAACTGCCCTCAATCCCGGCCCCACTCACACGTCAGCATCGCTAGAGTTTAGCGCGGCTCGAAGCTGTGGAGAAGCTACCGCTTTCTTCACATGCCCACTGGGCAAAGATCCGCACACTGGCAAGACCGACTCGTGGGCCGCAACCCAGATTGGCAAACCAGATTCGGCCACGCACGTCGGGATTCGCACGGCGCCTAGCCTATTTTGAACGACAGATCTCTGTGGTCTCGAGCCCGTCAGTGCCGACTGCTTCCAGACAAGGTCACGCCGCGAACCCAAACAACCAAACCGCTCCTTGAGTATTAGGATGTATTGAAGTCTGTCCCGAGTCAGAACACATGAAGGAAGAATGAGCCGAAGAAGAAAAGATTGCCGTGCGGAATAAACAAAGGGTCAAAGGAATCCAAGGCAGATGCCCGCCGTCAGACAAGGGAACAGCCAGGACTGAACCCGAGCAGCTACCGTTGGACCCAAGAACCGCACGCTATTTTCAGCCCGGCAGCCGAAAACTTCACATTCAGCCCTACCTCCTCAAAAGAAAAATGCTTTTGGCTTATCACCACAGCATCAACGCAGTATTCCCGGCTACTTAGCATGTTTAATTAAATGACAGACACCTGAAACCTTGATACGTTGACCCCAAAACCCTACCCAAACTCTTACGCCTAAGCTCCAGGCCATGAGGCCTACGCTCCGAGTCCTTCAGGCCCCAAAACTTATTGAACGCGGACGCCCTTTGTTTTCAGCGCCCGAGTGCTTGTAGTTACTTATGCTAAGGATCGCACAGCACACTGAACTGGCTCTCCTGCAGGGCTTGCCGCACCGCTGTCACCAGTGACAGAAACGAAGTTTGCCGAGAACCGAAATTTGGTGGACCAAGCGACTGTATTTGGACATACTTTGTTCTTTGGAATGTCAACACTGCTCTTAAACCAACTGAAAACCGATACTACCGATCGTTACGTTGTTTTTTTCGGGCGGCTCTATGCAATCTCCATCCGCCATCCTGTGACAATAACGATAAAAACGAATGTGGTCCGGAGGTACTCTATCTTGCGTTGCACGTTGGCAAGAGATCCTCATGTCCTTCAACAAACCGCTCCCACTGTGAGGGCCGGAAAGTCTGCATAAACATACAAGAGCCACGACTATACAGTGTGGTCTGTGAAGGGCTTCTACTCACCGAAGTCAAAACAGCTCAACGTACCGCCATGCCTGTTGTGCCGAGGCCGGCACTCCCACAAACGACATGCCGTGTCCAGCTCCAGTCAGTTGCCAATGGAGTGCCAAAACTGCTGCATGCTTGAGCGAATCCCGAACACTTGCGCTTGTGATTCGCGACCTCGCCCCGATCTGTGAGGTCGGGAGCGGAGAGAAACGAGGCCGAAAATCTCCCGTCTGGAGGAAATCTGTACAACACTCGACATCCCAAGTCAAAGGTTGTGGTCATGTGCCGGCCCTTCGCTGCTTCGTCGCCGAAAGGCATGCCGTGGAAGGAGCAGCTCGGCGCTCCCACGTGGAGGGGCAGAGAAACACATGGCTGTGAGATTGAGCATCCCAGGCCGTGAATCTCAATGGGAGGAACAGCAAGCTGAGCTCGGGCCAAGACCTATCGCGACATCGTGGCACATGCAAGCTTGGCAGCAAAGAGCCTGCCCTAAACTCAAAATGCAATGCCGAAAAAAAACTGACCGAGATCTCGACAATCGGGATGCGTCTTTGCATGCAGTCTGTGGAATAGCAACCATGTGCAAGGCAAACAGCAAAAACTGGTGGTGTAGTTTGGCAATGTTTTTCGGACAACACTGGCTGGAGCAGGCCGGTCCTGAACTCAAAATGGACCGGCAGAAATAATGCTTTTGGACCGAGAAGTGTTATGTCGGTGTCTTCGCATGCGCTCTGTGGAATAGCAACGATGCTGCTACTAATGCTGGTGTTCTACAAAAGTCTGAGGCTGATAATAATGCCATGTGGCGAAGTGACACAGAAAACAGGAAACCGCCTAGGCCTAGACTTAAAACCAGAAAAACCCTACCCGAAACCCAAGCATCCCAAAAACGCCTTGAATCGGCAGTGTTTGATTAGCAGTGCTCGACGGAATCTGGCTTCTACAAGCAAACCATTCCGAGATATTTGTCGCCGTATGTCGCCGTACTCTTCAGGCTATCCTCAGGTTTTTGCGACGATGGTTCGTCCGCAAAAAAGAGCTGGTCCAGTAAGGCCGGGGCTGGAGCTTTCTGTCACAGCAGGTCAGAATTCGTGAGGAGCACCGGACAAGACACAAGCAGAAAGAACGTAAGGTTGAAAGAACACCAGTCCATACCACTGTAGCATGAGAAACATGAGGAGACGGCCATAATAACATAAACCATCCTCATCGTCGTCCTTACCGTTACCATCTCCGCGAACATGCATCCGACACATGTCCCGACTGACATGAATGATCAGAAGCATGGTTTACATGCTCATGATATCTCATGATCTCCCCGGCATTCTCTGGCCTTCGAAGAGGCCGCTTGACGTTCTCCGTCGCGGAAGCCAGAAGCGAGTTGTAGCGCAGACGCGCTGACTGGTTACTGGCAAGGCGACAGCCGAAGAATCCAGACAAGCAGCTCCAACTGGAAGAGAACAACACTGATGCAGTCCTAGTGATCTGCTACTCCGGCAAAATTCAAGCTGGATGGGTGCACTTGGAGACAAGTGCGGCCGTCACGAGCAGCGGCATAACTGGCACCTGTGATGATGGCGGTGGCGCGTGAAGTTCACACATCCGGGCAGACGGCCCACCATGAGCAGAGCCAGCATGGCGCAGGTGATCGGCCGACGAAAGCGAAGCCGTCCAGATCTCTCCACCTCACAGGCGAAGCGGCGGAGATCGGCGGAGCGGCAGAGGCTCAGGCCAAGAGAGCTGAGAACCCAACTTCCATTGCACCGCGTACGGCAGTGATGGCATGCCTCTCCCCCAATCTCAGCACACGACTGGGACTATGGCACGCAAAGGCGCATGCAAGTTGAGATGCAAATGGTTGTGCAAAGGCTCCCCTTGACTGGAGGAGAAGGACCACTTGCCTTATCTCCGGCCGGCTGGATAGATTCCTTGCAGGACAAATCGGAAAATGCCACGGCTGTGCTTGTGGCAGCCGATGCCGAGCAGCATGAGCTCAAGTTCTTTCAGCTCACGCAAGACGTTCTCGAGATCCCTGCGCATGCAAATGGGCTGCTAATGTGCTGCATCTTCCAAGTGTGTCCAAGGAGGGTGCTCCAAAGAGTTCGGATGCTTCTCCACGGGCGTCTGACCTGGGAAATCAACAATCTCGCGCTGCCTTCAAGAAACGAGCCTCGTCAGGCTTTCCACCTTAACCTGAGGCCGACACTGGCCCGTAGAGGTGAGGGTACGCTGCTTGCAAAGCGGCTGGTCGTCACAGACTGCAGCCCAGCAATGCATCAACATGAACGATTCCCACGAATCCAAAGAAGATGGAGAGAATTCACTATCAGGACCAAGTGGCAGCACTCTTCGAGGTTTCTTGAAAACGTATGCGATTCCTGGAAGCACACTCGTCCAGTCTTGGAGCATGGAACGATGAAACTTGTTGAGTTCAGCACCCGCTCCGGCGCGTCACCTTGGCCCACGAGCGCATCCAACCGGCAAGCAGACACTCCTCGATCTGATTCTGCGCCAACACCATGCTTCAAGCAAAACTAGATGCACAACCCACTCTAAGTCCAGCACAGTGTCATTGATGTCAAATGTCAAATCATCGACATAGTTTACCTGCTTTGGGACTTGCAACCGCACACAAAACGTTAGGGGCGGCATGGGCCGGCTGTCTGCAAATGGTGCGCACCATCCTCTCTACCAGACAGCTCACGTCCAGGATGCGGTTGGGCCCACCCTGTCTTCGGAGAGGCATCTTACTCTCCGAGCCAGTGCGACAATTCCTGGCGAGTTGTGCCTCCCACTGCACCAAGGATCCGTCGAACACCTGCGCTGACCGGACAAGCCCTGGCCAAACAAATTACATCAGCAACGCAGCTGTTCGTCGTGAACCAGCCTTGATGTACTTGTACTGGACGACCTTACATACTGTACTTGCAGTTGCGCGACAACAGACTACCTTGCAATCACTTTCTGGCCTCTGTGACCTGGCTGGGCAGTGAAATCTCAGCTGTTCGCCACCTTGGGCAGGACAGCTTCATTTGTTCCAACTCTCAAACGTAGGTACTGGTTCATGCTCCATTGCCTTCCTTTCGTCTGGGCCGTCGCTGCAAGGTTTGCTGCTTCCGAGGTTTTGGGTTGGCAGGCCATTAACTACGTTTTTTCGGCCTTGCAATCAAATTGAGCTGTTCACCGAGTGAATCAACCGACCCTTATGCTTGTTCTGGTCAGAAGGCTCATCCTTTGATCACACGAACCTTCATCTTCATCATGTGCAGTGTTTCAGGTTTAGGCAAGTTTAGACATCTGTTGTCTCATCTTGAAGAGCAATGAGTGCGCTCCCCGGAACAAACTACGTGTTTTTGAAATTTGTACCGTCTTTAGTCTTCCGGTCACCATGCAAAAACAAAATCACATGCTATGCACGATGCCGAATTTAACAGTCTGGGGTCTGCGCGCAGGATAGGTCCGTTCGGATGTCACCAAGGGCAAAGCTCGAGAGGACTCCCTGCCAGGCACTTCTCATCCCTCAAAAACTCGCCTTGCCCGACAGCCAGATCGCATAAGGCCCCCGCCACGAGCCAAGTTCAGGCAAAGATCCGACTATGCGGACGTCTTCCAAATTCACGGTCGGGCATTTGACCTGTTCCCACAGAAGAGCACAAACGTCTCGTTTCATCCACCATCAGCTTCTGCCTTTATCGACACAGCGCATAAGGGGCAGGCTTCAAACACGACCCATACAGGCATCACGTGCCTGAAGATCCTCGTCAGCCCATTCTTTGTCGAATTGGAGCTTCGCTAGAATACATATTCATCCAGCATACCTTGCACACAATGCACACGCCAGTCATGCAAAATTACTTTGCCTCGGTGGCCATCGAATCCACGCTCAGGCAATGCCAAATAAATCTTTATCGCATGTGCACTGCGAATAACATCGACACAGTATGCTTTCGAACGAAATGCAATGCAACTCAATGCAATGGAATAATGCAACAAGAATTCTCGCAATTGCTGCAATGCACGCAACGGCAATGACTGCGAGCAAGCTGGTGGCCTAAAATCGCGAGGTTCCAAACCGAAAAAAACAGTACACAAGATCTTGGGCGCGGCTTTCATGGCATGACTTTTTTGAAAGCCATAGTCTCCTGCCTGACTTGGCATGATGGTGAGACCGTGGGCACGTGGGGCGGCTTTAAAAATGGCGGTTGACTGCGTTTACATAGAAATATATGTCTTGATTTTGCCTGTTTGTGTTGGCATAAGGAGCAAAGGGACGAGCCATATGTGATTCTCAAATGAACTTGTTCGTGTAGAACAACCAATTTTGCCTAGGTCCCCCTACTCTCCTCTTGCCAATGTGGATTAACTGTGCCGAATCCGGCTGGTAACTTACTTGGCGTAAGGGGTCTTGCTGGGGCGTACACGTTTCTCAGATTACTGGCTTTAGACCACAACATATATGCAGTGAACCAGAGACTCAGCCAATGGTTTGTCGTTGGGTGCCTTGCCCTGTCGTGTGCCACGACTCGTGGCGTATTCGCTTGCGAACCAAAAGCTTGGCGTTTGACGGAATCAATCAAGATCAATCATCAAAACGAGTCTCTTGAGCGGATCTTCCATGCTTGAAAACAGTTTGATTTGTCGGCTTTATTGACATAATATCCTCAGAAACCTCCACAAGGGCTTCGATGCAGTACGTACATAATGGTCTTTGTCGGCAATGATAACATAACGGGATGTCGGATGGGACGAAGCAATGTACTTGAAGAAATGCCTCGGCAATGACAGATCGACACGCATTTGACATGCAATTTATAATTTTGATAACACTTGGATCGAAATATGATGACAGATTACAACGAGTTCCTAAGGTTCTGTTCCAGAAGCAGCGGTGGAAATGCTTTTTCGACAAGAGTGGTCACGTTATACTCTGAACCACTTGCGATGCAAGGCGGAAAATTTA